TAAGATCCCCTTACCGGTCATTTTTTAAAAAAAAAAAAAAAAAAAACTAGTATAGTAATTGTAATATCTGGTACTAGTAACATACTTAACCACCTATGAAACACTTATGGAAAAATAATGTAAAAGTTCTCAGATTCATAATAAAATATTTGAGTAAATATGCGTGGAAAGAAAAGATTACTCAGAGCCCAAATGTTAAGAGCAATGAGAAGCCCAAAGGGACTGCACCAAGGAAAACTTCAAGAGAGGAGAGCCCAGGCACAGCCCTGAGTCAGTTTTTGCTTCAGTTTTTATTGTAAAGACAGAAAAGTTAGAGAAGAAAAAAAGATGGTTAATCAATCATAGTGAAAACATAAACAAGCTGTCTAGTGACAAACTTCATTAAAGCATGTGTAACTTAAAATAGTTCAAGAAGTTTACCATCAAAAGGAGTCATAAAACTAAGCTATGTGACATACAAAAAGAAACAATGAGATAATCACCAAAGTGCTTAACTCCCCAAGAAACTCAAAGAAACAGCTTAGGGAAGAATGTGGAATGTCCTCTAGGCACTAACTAATCTAGCAGAAAATCCTTGAAGATTTTAGCTTACATACTTTCCAGTCATTTAGGTCTAGCTGTACTAAGGGCAACTGCCCCTAGAACAATCCCCATTCTGCTTCAATTTTCTTATCTACATCAAAGGCTTTAGTCCTGTGAAGGTTTTCTGGTCTTTCTCAATCTTAATATTCCTACACTCTTTCCTAAAAGGTTGGGCTTTGGCCCCCTAACTATAGGCTTTGGCCTCCAGCTAAACTAAGGACTTTGGTCCTCTAAACTACAGGCTTTGGCCTCCTAAACTAAGGACTTTGGTTCTGTGAAATACACATGTTTTATTTCTATCTCATTAATAATTTCTTAGTCAATATCCTCTACAGAAAACATTCAGTTGAACCGTATAATAATTACATTGGAGAGCTGGCCTGTTAGCTCAGTTGGTTAGAACATGGTGCTGTTAACACCAAGGTCCAGGGTTCAATTCCCAAACCAACCAGCTGCAAAAATAAAAAAAATAAAAAAAATTACATTGAATTTAGGCACAGTGCAACTGTTAAAACAAAGATTTAAAAATTTCTAGAGTATCAGGTTTATCACCTTAATTCTAGGTTTGTATAATTGCCTTTCCTCTTTTTTTTAGTTGCCTTTTTTTTTTTCCCCAGATAAGCAAAATATGTTATGAGAACATATTCTCATACAACCTTTCCCATCAGGTATTAGTCCTTGTTTTAGTCCATTTTGTGTTGCTATAACAGAAATACCTGAGACTGGGTAATTTATAAAGGAAAGAGGTTTATTTGGCTTACGATTCTGGGTGAGCTGCATCTGACACAGGCCTCAGGCTGCTCTACTCGTGGTGGAAAAGCGGCAGGCAGCTGGCAGGTACAAGCAGATCACATAGCCAGAGAGGAAACAAGAGAGAGAGAGAGGAGGTGCTAGGGTCCTATAAACAACAACCTCTCACGGGAACTAATAGAGCGAGAACTCGCTCATTACTCCTCCCACCCCCAGGGAGAGCATTAATCCATTCATAAAGGATCCACCCCCATGACTCAATCAGTTTCCAACACTGCCACATTGGGGATCAAATTTCCACATGAGTTTTGGAGGGGACAACTCATCCAAACTCCAATAGTCCTAAAACTTTTTTCTTAGTCCATCTAAATGTATTGCCCTTCACATATGAATTCAACATTACCAGCCCTTGATCACTTTAACTATACCCAAGGTTTATCCCACATAAACCAAAATGAGTCTCTTATTTTTCTACTGACCTGTTTGTTATTTATATATGAGATATATTATCTCTACTATTACTGAAAAATTCATTTTGTTGCACTGTTTTTCCTTAAATTATACTCCTAGGATCTTAGAAATAAAACTACAATAGGTATTAACTGCATATTGAAGCTTTGGTTTTTATTTGAATGAGATTAGTGGGAGTAAGAGAAAGAAGGGCCTTAACAGTCTTTCAATAGCATATTCAAAAATGTGAATGTAGAAAACATCTGGAGGCCCCTATTTATGGTTACAGGTAAGGTAAATGGAAACATCCATTCATATTAAATAATGGACAATTAAATAATGTACCTTTCAAAAATGTAATGTTTCATTAACTTTAGAGTATGCTTTTCCCCTTCTCTGTCTTTGGTCTTCTTGTATGCTGCAAGGGTACTTCAAAAAGTTTGTGGAAAAATTGAATTAAAAGATACTACTAATCTTTTCATGAACTTCTTGAAGTACCCTCATATGTGTTCTTTTCTAGTTTTTACAGAAGTACTATGGTATTATCTTCACTGAGATGTTTGAAAATTGATCATATTTCAAAGCTGAGGGAGTTTTCTGTATTTCACTTTTTGAAAGTTTAAGTGAAAGAATGATTCTTTAAAATATTATAAATCTAATTTGACTCTATGCACTGAATTTGCTTCCATAAAATCATTCATTGTATTGGATCCCTATACTCAAATGCTCAAAACATGTAATTTCTATTTTCAGAAAGACATTTTATTATAAAATAACCTGACACATCATTATGTAATACAGTCCATGTAACTAAATATTATAAATGCATGCAAGTTTGACTGAGTTTAAAGCTTAAATTCTATTAATGTAATGCCATTATTTGTTTTATGATCTTATGTTAAAAAATATTAGTTCAAAAACAACTTTACAGAAATACGTTAATAATAGATTTATCATTTGAATAAGTCTTCTTAAAAAAAATCTGTTGTACATGTTTTCAGATGGTCGCTAACCTTTAGAAGGAGAAAAATTGACAGGCTCAATTCTGAAAGCCATCTCTGATCTTTGGCATTATAATATGAAAAATTCTACCATTACATATATAGTGATATACTGTGGTGAAAAGAACAAAGTTTAGAATCACCTCATCTGAGCTTTTCTGCTAACTACTAACTGTATCTACTATATAACCTTATGCAGTTTTTTTTTTTAACCTCCCTGACTGAGCCTCAGTTTTCTTACCTTTGAAAAAGAGAAAAAAACCTCTCTTCATTCAACACCCAGTCTATGCTAGGCACTGGTGAACCATGTATAGTCTCTGTCCTTCTCAGCCTTTTCTGGTTGGAAGGCACATGTTAAACAAGTAATTGCACATTTAATTACATGTAGTTGTGATAAATATATGAAGGAAAATATAGAGTGGTAAGAATGTGGAAAATGGGGTGACCTGACCTAGGCTGGGGGCCAAAGGAGGTTTTCCTGAGGAAAGAATGTTTGAGTGAAGTTCTAGGAATTGATGGGGTTAGGGCAAGGTAGAAAGAGAGCACTTGACAGAGGAAGGAGCATTTGCAAAGGCTCTTGAGTAGAAAGGAACACTATGCAGATGGGGGAGATGCCCCTGTGAGGTAGTCTGGGGCCAGGTCTTACTAAGGCTTTTATTCTTTATCTCAGGGGTAATGGGAAGACACTGAGAGAAAAAGGCAAGTGACATAATCAGATTTTTGTATTGGAAAAGTTATACTGGCTGCAGTGTAGAGTATGGATCTGAGAAGCAAAACTGGATGTGGGGCGACCTGCTGTAGTGTAGGTGAGAGGTGATGGTAACTTGTGGTACTGAAATGGAGGGAGTGCAGACAGAGACAAATGGATGGATTAGCCATATATTTAGGAGGTCAAATCAAAAAACTTAGGAATATTTATTGAGTGCTTCCTAAGTGCTAGACACTATGTCAGGTGCTTTTTATATGCTATTACTTAATCCTCACAGCAACCGTAAAATGTGGGAATTATTGTCATCTCAATTACTCAGACTTGGAAACCGAGGCTTGAAGAGGTTAAATAGCTTGCCAAGCGTCAGATAGCTAGTGAGTGGCAGAGCCTAGCTGACTTAGGGTCTGCACCCTTAACCACTATACTGACATGGATATGGGGGGAGTGAGAGGGGAGGAGAAGTGGAGAAGGTACTCCTAGGTTTCTGTCTTCCTGGCTTGAGCAGTGGTGTCATTCACTGAAGGAACACAGGGTGAGGTCCAGCTTCAGGAAGCAGAGCATTTAGATCATATATCAGTAAGATCACTTTTTATGATCTTATTCAAATTCACATTATACTCTGATGCAGTCACCTAGGAATTCGTGATATGTACAACTTTTGTTTATTTAAATTGAGCCATAAAATATGCTTGATGATTGTACTCATCCTTATTATAGGGAGTGAAAGGTTAATACATTTTAGCTGTACTCCAGGAACTGGTTTGTAATTGATTGTCTCTTATTTTCCTCCCTAGATTATAAACTATTCCTTCTATTCCTACTACGTAATACAGTGTCTGGCACATGATATGAGTTCAATAACTATTCACTGAAAGAATGTAAGATTAAAAGCAAACATTTAATCAGTACTTTACATATTTCAACAAAAATTTCACACTAATTTCCTGAACAGATGACCTATTAGATTTTATTTCTAGTTTTTAAAATGTCATTTTTTAATCTTACATTTCTCATTCTTTGCATTGTTTAGGCATTAGGAAAGTGATTTCATGAAGCAGATTAAATAAATTGTTAGTCATTTAAAAACAAGGATACAGGTCCTAGAGATTTATCCATACTATGTATTTTTGCCCTCAAGAACCTAACTTTTTGCTATGCATGTAGTGGATAATAAATACTTGTTGAATGAATATATATTAATGTATTCAGTAAAACCACATCAGTATTTCCTATTGATCATCATATGAGTCAGCATAGGAGCTGCTCTAAGATTCTACAGAATATGTAGATTAAGTTACAAATAGTCTAATATAAAAATTCTCCCAAAAGGTGGCCATTTCTAACTCCTAATACTCAGCCGTTTGCTTTTCTTTTTTTTAAATCTCTATCAGGTATCATCAGTTTCTCTTGAAAATCCTACTGAGGTGTTCGAAGATGGAGAAAATCCACCAAGTAGTCGATCATCAGAGAGTGGATTCACTGAGTTTATACAATATCAAGCAGATCGAACTGATGACATTGACAGAGAACTGGGTGAGGTGCAGGAGACAGCTACCATCCCAATTGGTAGCACGTCGTCCGAGACAGAAACAGCATCTACTGTGGGATCTGAAGAAACCGTCATCCAGACCCCTTCCATTGTCACTCAGGGGACAGCAACCCGAAGTGTGAATACAGCCCAAAAAACTGCAATGCAGTGCTGCTTGGAGTATGTCCAACAGTTTCTTACCAGACTTATCAACCTTTATATTGTTCAGAGTAGCTCTTCTTCTCAAGTTTTGGCTGCAGAGCGTCAAGGGGATCTCTGTCGAGAGCAAGGAGAGACTTCAAGATGGGATAGGGATTCACAAGGAGATATAAAAGAGAGAAATATAAGTAAACAAAAAACTTCAAAAGAATACCTTCCTGCCTTCCTTGCTGCCTGTCAGCTCTTCCTAGAGTGCTCAAGTTTCCCCGTTTACATTGCTGAGGGGAACCATACGTCAGAGTTATGTTCTGAAAAATTAGAGACTGGTAAGGTCATCTCTATTTATATTTCAGTGTTTTCTTTAGCATGCTATTCTTTTTTTTTTTTTTTTAAGCACTCAGATATGCTTCTTAAAATTTTTTATCCAGTTTATTTTTTAAACTGTGCTATTTTAATTGGTAAACTTTTTAAATGAAATACTGTCACTATGGGGAAATTAATATGCTGGAAGATTCTGTGATTTTTATTTCTTTCGCAGTTTGCTTCTAGGTAAGTAGAGGCTGAAAGTAAATATCTGAAGAAAAGTAATATAACATTAGATCCACTGGCTTCCTTAATTATGACGAGTATCATATGTGTTTACCTTTATTTGCATTTTTATATACACACATACACAGTACAGTAAGTACTACATAACATTTGCTGATTAAAACTTTTTCAGGACAAGAAAGTACATTGTATGACTTGGCATATGAAAAATGTATATTGAGAAAAAAGTTTATTAAATTCTTGTTGCTGCTTTATTTTCTTAAAGCTCTAGACTATGTGAGAAACAAACCATGGTTTTGTTAACAGATCAAGGCCTAAAGGTATTAAGTAGCTTTGTGTTTTGAAGTTAACTTTAAAGTATATGTGAAATGTTTATTGCAACGAACTCTGATTGCTTCCATTTTTTGTTTCAGACTGTGAGCATGTGCAGCCTCCACAGTGGCTCCAGACTCTGATGAGTGCTTGCAGCCAAGCAAATGATTTCAGTGTTCAGAGTGTTGCCATTTCACTAGTCATGGACCTAGTAGGACTGACTCAGTCTGTGGCCATGGTCACTGGGGAAAACATCAACAGTGTGGAGCCTTCACAACCCTTAAGTCCAAACCAGGGAAGAGTAGCTGTGGTTATTAGACCTCCCCTCACTCAGGGAAATCTGAGGTACATAGCTGAGAAGACTGAATTTTTCAAGGTAAATTCTAATAAATGCATATATAACTAAGATAATCACTGCATGTGTGATACTTGACCTAGTTTGCTTAACAGTGATTTTAAGGATGTTAGTCAGGCTTAATTAAACACCTTTTAATACCATACCATGTAGAAAATGATGCCACACTTGATATGTACTGCTTTCCACATCTTGTTCACAATTTTGTGAGGGGAAAAAAGGTAAGGATAAGGAGAGTATTAGTGTAAAGAAAGGCAAGTATTAGGGCACTGAAGCCATGGAAGAAATAATTTCAGCTATAAAAGAGGAAAGCTTATTTATACAGTAGATATTTTCCAGATTAAGTGGTTGTGACACTTTTGCTTTTCGTAGAGTAAACCCTCAGCTCTCCAAAACTCCCATGAAAAGTTTTCTTGACTCTCCATACTATCTGATTATCATCTGCAATGTATGATGTCATTCAGAAAAAAATGCACAGTCTTTGATTTCTACCACAATGGTATAGATGGTATCCTCTACATAAAAAGAACATCAAGTATATTTGGATTGTATTACTTCTTAAGCAGGTAGATTCTTTATACATAAAAAAAGTTTTTAAGGGCCGGCCCAGTGGCGCATTCGGTAGAGTGCGGCGCTTGGGAGCTCAGCGGCGCTCCCACCAAGGGATCGGATCCCATATAGAGACCGGTCCGCTCACTGGTTGAGCGCGGTGCGGGTGCGACACCGAGGGTTGTGATCCCGTTGCCGGTCGCGGTACGGGCGCGACACTGAGGGTTGCAATCCCGGTACCGGTCACGAAAAAAAAGACAAAAAGAAAAAAAAAAAAGTTTTTAAAATCTCATTTCAGGTTATCATGCCCTTCCAGATATTTCTTCCT